TCAGACAGTGCCGTCATTACTGAGTTTATATGTTCATCTTTGCAGTCTTTGTAGAAACTATTTCTGTTCATCCAAAATAATTTCCTTTTAGATTAATCATTTTTTGGATTCGGACTGACATGTGCTTTTATTTAATCCCACTGTGTGCTGCTAGCAGCAGCGTATGAAGAAGTCACGATCTGCTGCATCACATGCACGTGTTTATGATGATCATATTTATGCTGTGGCTATATTAATAATTCAAATGGTTGAAAAGGTCTGTGTGATGTTTTATTAGTTCTTGTATTCTGGGCATTCTTCTATTCATGTGGTTTGTGACTTTCTACCTGGCTTGCTTTTGGTTCATGTTTCAGATTATTGGTTTGGATTTATTTGCCCATTTTCTGTGTGTTTCTCATCTCGGACTTTTTGGTCTGTGCTTCAATAAACTTCCACACATGGATGACTGATGTGTAACTAATGTTAAAAATGCTCAAATATTCCTCATGACAAATATGGATGTTTTTAGTGTGATGATAGTAAACATTATAAATGGACAAATAGCAGATAAAATATTATTCTCATTTTCAAATTACTTTCTGTCCTGCATGACATGATTTCAAACAAAGCAATATTGAACTTTTTTTTAATAATACAGATTGTGCTGATCCACATTTTATTCATTTTTGCTTATCTCTTGTATTTATAAAATAGATTTTCTACATTATTTTCAATATGTGTATTGCAGCTAGTCTCTTTTGAATTAATCACTTACTTGGATAAAAGTGTGGATAAATGAATAAATATGATAAAAACATTTAAATATCAATATATGCTCATCATTATATAAAGATAAGTCATGATAATGATGAGCTTTGCATGTTTATCACTGGATTTTCTTAAAATTATTTATATACAATATTTATAAATATTTCAGGTTGAGGGAAACAAGAATCAATAAAAAAAAAAAAACATTAATCTGAATATTGGGGGACGTTCACCTCACAACCTCACAGTTTAAACAGTTTTATCCCATGCTGATAATAAATTTTCATATGAATAATTTATAATATGAAATCTGAATATGAGTGCAAATGTAACACAGGCCCATTATACAGTATAAAGTAGATTTAATGTAAATCCATATTAATGACATACGTTCTCTTTCCACACTGATGAGTTTCTGTTCATCAAAACAGCAACAGACACACACATGTACAACCTGTAGGTCAACTGATGGGTGTTTCTGTAGCATAGTTCCTATAGTTTAGTGAGATCAGCAAATATGAATTGTTATGAATGACGCATTCAGGACCAAAATATGCTACATTTGCATATAGCCTTTATAATCTCTCTCTCTATCGCTCTGTCTCTCTCTCTCTTTCTGTCTATAGGCCTATAGTCTTGCTTCCCACTACAGGGAAGTCAAAGTTGGTTTTGAAAGGACATGCCCTCAGTATCTGGTTCAGTTAAAATGAGCTTTTCATTCTCCTCAACTTTAAAGGTGTCCTATTATGCGTTTTCACTTTTTCAACTTTAGTTAGTCTGTTGCTGTTTGAGCATAAAAAAGATCTGCAAAGTTACAAAGCTCAAAGTCGACTTCAAAAGGAGATATTTTATTTAACAGAAATCACTTTTCAAAAACTACAACGAACGACTCGTTTGGACTACAACGCATATTTTGCTGGATTTGTGATATCACAAATATCGACGAATGGGACGAGACCTGGTTGAGCTGCACTAGAGAAGGCAACGAGTGTTATCACTGTGTCGGAGACACGCTAGCTTTCCCAAAGCAGACTTCCGCATCAGCCAAGGCCTCATCAGGATCATTCAAAGCCTAAAATGGTCAGAATTCATCGGACAAGTTAAGATCAGACAGTGCCGTCATTACTGAGTTTATATGTTCATCTTTGCAGTCTTTGTAGAAACTATTTCTGTTCATCCAAAATAATTTCCTTTTAGATTAATCATTTTTTGGATTCGGACTGACATGTGCTTTTATTTAATCCCACTGTGTGCTGCTAGCAGCAGCGTATGAAGAAGTCACGATCTGCTGCATCACATGCACGTGTTTATGATGATCATATTTATGCTGTGGCTATATTAATAATTCAAATGGTTGAAAAGGTCTGTGTGATGTTTTATTAGTTCTTGTATTCTGGGCATTCTTCTATTCATGTGGTTTGTGACTTTCTACCTGGCTTGCTTTTGGTTCATGTTTCAGATTATTGGTTTGGATTTATTTGCCCATTTTCTGTGTGTTTCTCATCTCGGACTTTTTGGTCTGTGCTTCAATAAACTTCCACACATGGATGACTGATGTGTAACTAATGTTAAAAATGCTCAAATATTCCTCATGACAAATATGGATGTTTTTAGTGTGATGATAGTAAACATTATAAATGGACAAATAGCAGATAAAATATTATTCTCATTTTCAAATTACTTTCTGTCCTGCATGACATGATTTCAAACAAAGCAATATTGAACTTTTTTTTAATAATACAGATTGTGCTGATCCACATTTTATTCATTTTTGCTTATCTCTTGTATTTATAAAATAGATTTTCTACATTATTTTCAATATGTGTATTGCAGCTAGTCTCTTTTGAATTAATCACTTACTTGGATAAAAGTGTGGATAAATGAATAAATATGATAAAAACATTTAAATATCAATATATGCTCATCATTATATAAAGATAAGTCATGATAATGATGAGCTTTGCATGTTTATCACTGGATTTTCTTAAAATTATTTATATACAATATTTATAAATATTTCAGGTTGAGGGAAACAAGAATCAATAAAAAAAAAAAAACATTAATCTGAATATTGGGGGACGTTCACCTCACAACCTCACAGTTTAAACAGTTTTATCCCATGCTGATAATAAATTTTCATATGAATAATTTATAATATGAAATCTGAATATGAGTGCAAATGTAACACAGGCCCATTATACAGTATAAAGTAGATTTAATGTAAATCCATATTAATGACATACGTTCTCTTTCCACACTGATGAGTTTCTGTTCATCAAAACAGCAACAGACACACACATGTACAACCTGTAGGTCAACTGATGGGTGTTTCTGTAGCATAGTTCCTATAGTTTAGTGAGATCAGCAAATATGAATTGTTATGAATGACGCATTCAGGACCAAAATATGCTACATTTGCATATAGCCTTTATAATCTCTCTCTCTATCGCTCTGTCTCTCTCTCTCTTTCTGTCTATAGGCCTATAGTCTTGCTTCCCACTACAGGGAAGTCAAAGTTGGTTTTGAAAGGACATGCCCTCAGTATCTGGTTCAGTTAAAATGAGCTTTTCATTCTCCTCAACTTTAAAGGTGTCCTATTATGCGTTTTCACTTTTTCAACTTTAGTTAGTCTGTTGCTGTTTGAGCATAAAAAAGATCTGCAAAGTTACAAAGCTCAAAGTCGACTTCAAAAGGAGATATTTTATTTAACAGAAATCACTTTTCAAAAACTACAACGAACGACTCGTTTGGACTACAACGCATACATAGCTGGATTTGTGATATCACAAATATCGACGAATGGGACGAGACCTGGTTGAACTGCACTAGAGAAGGCAACGAG